TTTCCTTATAACATAAGCCTGATCGGCCCGGCCGATCGCCACATCGTCCTGGCCGATGTGAACAAAATCCAATCGTCCAGGACGATTCCTCAGGCCGATAATTTCGATTTTGCTCTCGGGATTTTTGTCTCATCTGATCGTCCCAGGACGATCCAAAATCGGCCTGGACGATCCCATTCCAGAAAAATCAGCTATTTCACTGCACTGATCGTCCCGGACGATCTCAATATCGTCCCGGACAATCCTGGGAGGAAAATCAGATTTAGAGAGAAACAAATCAAAGGAATGAGCTCTCACACGAGAGGTGGTTGGATTCTAAATAGGACAATATTTGAAATTAAACTGACAGATTAAGAGATCCTCATTGTTTGTCACCCTTAAAATGAGTTTTTGCTCTGAAAGCAAAATGCAAATTAGAGAACGAAAGAAGGGCAAGTCCACCTTTAACTATGGGTTTGCACGTTGATACGTCGCCAAAAATTGGTTTACACTATGAGCTTTAGCAACACACGTAGGTCGTGAGAAGACATTGCAACAACTCCAGATTCGATTTTTATGGTCATATATACATTGTGATGTTGCTCGATTCATGGAATGGTGCTCAATTTGCCAAACATATTAGGGCAGAAAACAAACTATAGATTTGTACTTACCTTTGCCCGATCCGGACACTATCTGGGAGGACTGTAGTCTCGATTTTGTTTTGGGTTTATGATGAACAAAAAGGGGAAATGATTCTATTATGGTTGTGGCTGATAGATTTTTAAAAATATGGCTCATTTTATTGCATGCAAAAAAACTTTTGATGCAATTAACAGTGCTCTTCTATTCTTCAATGAAATATTCCGTCTGCATGGAATACCACGAAGCCTTATTTCAGATCACAATGTTAAGTTTATTAGACTTTTTTGGAGAGATTTATGGAAAATATTGCAAACTGAAATCAACTTAAGTTCAACTTACTACCCTCAGTCTGAGTTAGGCAGAATTTGCATACAATAGCATGCCAAATAGATCAACAGGAAGGTTCCCTTTTAGCATTGTTTAGACAGACTCCAAACCACACTATTGATGTAGCCATTCTTCCAAAATTATATAGTAAAAATGCAGCTCAAGTTGCTGATCAATTCACACATATGCTAACTGATGTCTCGAACAAATTCATTTCTTCTAATGATAAGTATAAATAAAAGATTGATACTCATTGCCGTGCAAAACACTTTCAACCAGGTGACTTAGGGTTCATTTAGGACGACTTTCTTACAGCTTCTTAAAATAGTTTTTTAGTACAATTTTTTTTATTTCTTAACTAAAAAGCAGCTTTAAGAAGCAATATAAAAATCGTCCCAAATGAAATCTTAGTTATGGTTCACTTGCGTCTTGAAGGCCTAGCCCCTAGCACTTACTCCAAATTAGGTCTACGTCAAGTCAGTCCGTTTCCTATCTTGAAAAAAAATCAATGATACTGCTTATATTATTAATTTGTCCCCTGAATTTGGCACTACCTCCACATTTAATGTTACTGATATCCATGCCTATTACCCTTTAGATGAGGCTCTCATTACAACAACTACAGTGACCACAGAGAATTATCCAATGGGAGAGACCTGATGCGGTACATCCTATGCGTGAGGGAGTATCTTACCATTTTGTTTTCTCACTGCACTATTACTTACATTCTCCACTACTTTAGTTACTCTGTTATTTTCTAGTATGGTTAAGGTTTTCAGTTACCCTATCTTTTTCCAACAAGTTATTTACTGCTTCCTAGTATATGACTACTGTGATGGAAAGGAGAAGGCATTCGTAGAATATATATTCCTTTTACTATCAACCTCTGATTTTTCTATATTTTCTCTGTTTCCTTTGCTATCTCATACTTCTACAGAATACCTATTTCAGACAGTTACGGTAGTTTTATTGTCAAGTGATTATTAGCTGAAGCAGCAATCACGCTTATCAACCCAAGTGATTTTCTGAACGAGGTAACCGTTATTTTAAAAACAAAATTGCTACCGATTACAAAAACTTTGGCCGAAAATCATTCTGAAACACTGAAATTATCATATATTCCCTATCTTAATTCTTTCATTAGAAGCTAATCCCAACCATATCGTAATTCCAGATAGAATTTTCCTATGGAATTTGTTCTTGAACAACCAAAGCATAAATCCAGATTCATTAAGGAAACTAGAAATTGCTAGTTCAGAATAGAGAAATTCGAACTCTGCTTATTCTATTCTCAGAATCCAGTCCAAGTTGATCCAAGCTCACAGATATAGATACACATTAAAGTGAATGAATATCAACTACAGCATTACAATACATCAAGCATATATATATAATATCAAACGAGCTACACAAGTAACACCCTTAATTCCCCTCCAAATTCAGAGCCCCAGGGAAGGCAAGGAAACAAGCTGAGGGCGTTTGGTGGCAATCCTGCGCTTCCTGAGCCGCTCGGCAACGATGAAGGCCAGCTCTAGTGATTGCGAGGCATTTAGCCTAGGGTCGCAATGCGTGTGGTATCGAGAGCTCAGGTCATCAAAGGTTACAGTGCGCGATCCACCAATGCATTCCGTCACATTCTGCCCTGTCATCTCCAGGTGCACCCCTCCTGGGTGGCTTCCTTCCTGTTCATGCACATCAAAGAATGCTCGAACCTCCGCCTGCACAAAGGTAATTTTTAATGAAATGGTTAGTCCTTTCTTTGTTTCCATAAGTTCTTGCAGTTTAATATTTGATTTAGCAATATTGGCACGAACTTCGATCGAAGTAATTGCCAAAGAAGAACCCAACCAGCACCTCAGACTAAAGGGTACTTAATATGGAGCACTAGTAATTGCTATTCCATCTACTTGCAGTAGGTTCACCTATAACTATTTTAAAAGACCAAAGAGTGATTATATGCGAAGGAAACTGATCAAGACATGAATAACGTGCAGCTAAGAAATTTGATGGACTCCAAAGTTGAATCTTTTGAGACAGGTGGACCCAAACATGAGCAATAATCAGCATTAAGAGCGAAGCACTAGATGGAAAATGCCAGTGGCAACAAACAACATGTGATTGTTTGAGAGTGCTGCCATGAAAGTCATAACTAGGGGTGTCAATATTAGACCCGACCCGAACCCAATCCAAAAAATTTCGGGTTTGGGTTGACCCGAATCCAAAGCGCGGTGGGATCGGATCCGGAAAACCGACCCGTTTGTAAAAATGGATTGGGTTTGGGTTGACCCGGGAACCTGGAAATGACCCAGAATGACCCGAAAACTCGTCTGCCCTCGTTGATCGGCCCTGCTAGAGTCTGCCCGCCTAACCCGCGACCCCAGCTGCCCCGCTTGCCCAGCCTGCCCTACCTGCCCCACGGCCCCGCCTGCCCCAGCTGCCCCGCTTGCCCCGCCTACCCCGCGGTCAGCCTGCCCCGCCGACCTGCGCCGCGTCGCATCGAGTCATGTCCGTGCTTTGCTTGCTTTCGCGTCGCCGCCTGGATCACTACTGCTGCCCTGCCGACACCGCTGTTGCGCTTTCGCTTGCTGTCGCGTGCAAGAAATCGGAATAATCGAACCCAAAGCAGGTCGGGTTCAAGTCCGGAAAATCGACCCATTTGCAAAAATGAGTCGGGTTGACCCGAACCCGAATAGTGTCGGGTCAGTTCCGAGTTTGACCCGAACCTAACTCTGAAATTGGCACCCCTAGCCATAACCACCAACTCATTAAAGCCGTGACCCATAAATTGTTTAAAAGCAACCCATGTAATCATAGGAGAAATATCACTGAGATTAATGCTGTAGGATCATTAATCGGAATTTACCAGAATAGCGTCGAAGGGGCGTGTCTTAAGGCCGCAGGGCGCCTTGATGGTGTTCCCATGCATCGGGTCGCTGACCCAGGTGACAATCTGTCCTGCGCCGCGGACAGCTCTGATTAGATGGGGCAGCTTCACCCTCATGTTCTCAGCTCCCATCCTTGTAATTATAGTTATCCTCCCTGGCTTGTTTTCTGGGTTCAGGATTTCAATCAACTTCACAAGCTGATTCGGGTCCATCTTGTCACTAACCTGAATCAAACGACATAGGAAATCACAAATTTTGAAAATAATTTCATCTAGTTTTATTCTCTAATGCTGCTTGGCAAATTTGGCAAGAATCATACGATGGAAAAAAATCCACTTTTTTCTAACCTTAATGCCAAGAGGATTCGCGATACCACGAAGGAACTCCACATGGGCACCATCGAGCTGGCGGGTGCGCTCGCCGACCCAGAGCATGTGAGCAGAGCAGTCATAGTACAGGCCTGAGGTGGAATCCTTGCGGGTGAGGGACTGCTCGTAAGGGAGGAGAAGGCACTCATGTGAGGTCCAAAACTCTGTCGTGGTCATGATGGGATGGTCCACCGTAAGCCCAGAAGCCGACATGAAGCCAAGGGCTTCATCCACCCGATGGGCCAACTCCTTGTACCTGTAGGTTTTGGCAACGATTAATCTTTCTTATTCGTGGAATGATTTTCCTAAAGGTGATCAGTCCTAGGAGAGGATCGGTTAAATCCGTAAGAGATCAGTCAATTCATCGGGCAAGAAATCTATGATAATTTTGTTTCATAAGCCACCTAAACACTAAAGAAATTGTAACTTCTAGTGACTACAATTTACAGATCTGCGAACGATGAAAGAAATACTAGTGAAGAAAAAATTGAAAATGACCCGAGGTGCATTCAAAAATATGATTGCGAGATGAAATTGCAGAAAAAGAAAGAGAAATGTAGGGGAGGTCGCATACCTGTCTCCCTGCTCGCTGTGCTCGGTGAAATCGAGGTTCCACTGCGTGATTCTCTGCATAGCGGCGTAGCCTCCGGTGGCGAAAGCACGGAGGAGATTCAATGTTGCCGCTGACTGGCAGTAAGCTCTGATCATCCTGTGCGGATCCGGAATTCTCGACTTCTCATCAAAGGCATCGCCATTGATGTTATCTCCTCTGTAGCTTGGTAGTTTGACGCCATCCTTCTCCTCCAAGTTATCCGACCTCGGCTTCGCAAATTGGCCCGCCATTCTTCCCACCTGGAATGATGAATAACATGTCGCTAAATCCAGCTGAGTTGTAAAGTGGAAATTTCAGATCAGTAAATAGATCTTGAGTTTTGGTTACCTTGATGACCGGCATCTGGCTGCCAAACATAAGGACGGCACTCATCTGAAGGAGAACGCGGAAGGTATCTCGGATGTTGTTGGCGTTGAATTCCTTGAAGCTCTCGGCGCAATCGCCGCCCTGGAGGAGGAATGCCCGGCCTAGAGCGGCTTCCCCTAGGCGCTCCTCAAGATTGCGGGCCTCGCCGGCGAATACGATAGGCGGGAAGTTCTCGATCGTGTGGAGCACCGATTCTAGATCATCCTTGTTGGGGTACTCCGGAAGCTGTAGCGCCTTCTTTGACTTCCAGCTGTCAAGAGTCCACTTTCCCGGCCTCGCAGTCGCCGGCGACAGAACCGTGGTTGCCGGAGATGGCTTCTCGGTGACAGTCGGGTTCTTGGCAGGATCCGCCGCATGGACGGCGGTGATGAGGCGGGGACGGCCGCCAGCGGGTATGACGGATCGGAGTTGGGGAGCGGCGCCGACGAAAGCGGTAGCGGAGTCGGAGTGGGGTTGGAGGAGAGATTTGGTGGAGATAGCAGAGGTGTAGGCTAGAGCCATTGTGCTCAGTATACCTTCTTCTCTTGGGGCTCGAGTTAGTAAGGGAGACGAAGAGAGAGCCCTGAGAATATCGGAAGAGAAATGGCGGGTACATATAGCGAAGAGTTGGCTGGTCGGGGTTGGTGAGCTTGTTGTTGGTACGGTGGGGGTAGTTGTGGGACGGAAATAGTGTATGACTTTCCGACTACCGCTGGAAAAACGATTCTCAGAATATTTTAAGAGAATTTTAATCATGATGTACTTTGAAAATTGAAAATTTTTTGGGTAATAAATTGAAAATTTTTATCTTATTTTAAAATAAATATTAAATATAATATTGATATGTTACTATAAAATTAATCCAGAACAAAAATGCATCTCTATGGGAATAAAATATTGAGGTTTCAAAAATTAAAATTGAAGCCATTCAAATTTTTGATTTCAATAAATTTATAGTGAAATTGAAGATTTCGGAGAGATGAACCTAGACATAGTAAAATCGGTCTAATTCGAGCTCAAATGGGTTCAAATCAAAGGATTAAAGTATTTTTGGAAGTTCGGAGAATTAATTGGATGACTGAATGAGACTCAAATATGACATTCTAATAGTTGAAAAGAGCGGCTCGACGAGACCAATCCAATGAGCTCAAGTTCACTCAATTCTGAAATTTATAGGGCATCAAAATTGATGCGGTGTCTCATAGTATCCTATAATTATAGTTTATTTTTCTCCTTACTAGTTTATTAATTAGTTTACCGTTACAAGTGGCTGCTCCACTACATTAGTTACCTTCTTAGGTATTATGGTACAGGCTAACCTTTTTGTTGTTTAGCTATTTTCTGCTGGAGAAGTTTTGGAATAAACTTGAATATCAAAGTATAGTATTACTCTGTTTCCGATTTCTTGTTTGGTGTTCTTAGCTTACCCTGCTTCTCCCAATGATTACCCTCATCATAAATGTTTGATAAACACTTTATAATCAACGGGATCAATATAAGTCGTCCGATGGAACACTCCCAACATGTCATTGATCTTCTCAATATTTACTAGCTATATCACTCTCAAAAAGCTATAAATAGGCCCTATTATTCTCATGAAAAGGTGGAGGTGGTGGGGGAAGAAAAAAAAGAGCTCTGAGGCCGAAGCTCCACCCTGGCACCACAGCTGATGAACTTTCATCAACTGTCGTCAGACTTTTATCAAGTCACCGATTACGTTCCTTTCGATCACCGTTGCCCTCAGATTACTGTCATTCTAACCACCATCACCCACTGATTATGATCCTCTTGATCAAACGAACATATCAACATTTTTTTAATAACAGCTGTAATATCATTCTTCAACTATTTACAGTGACGTATATTTTGTATGTTTGCTACATTGAGCTATCGCTCTCCTCCGAGAATGAGCATCATTTGTAATCAATCACCTATATTAGTGGACTCATTTCAATTGGGTCAGGCCTCGATATAAGCATGTTTACATATATTGTTAGGCATGCATTTAAATTTGAATTAATTTATATGAGAATCTAAGAATTTATAAATATTAATCTATAAAAGTAATGGATTAAAAAAGTTATTATAGAAGACCAAACAAAAATATATCTAATTTAGAATGATTTCTACTCAAATTAAATTTAATGGGTTATATCTAACTTGAATTAAAGTCAAATAAAAAATATTTAGCTGATCATGAGTTATATTTGGGTTTTGAAATCTCATAATTTAATGCTTTAAAAATGAGATTGTCATTTTGCAAATTTAGATGTTGAAAGTTGATATAATAAAAAAAAACATAAAAGCGTATGGTTTATGCTAAGTATAATTGATATGTCATAAAAAATTGTCTTTTTGGAGCATGAATCTCCATATATATTCAAGTTAGAAACTTTGGAAATTAAATGTGGGATCATCTGAACTCCAACTTCAGCTAACTTATAATCAATTTGAATGTCTCAAAGAGAAAAAAAAAAACCAACAACACCAAAATTAGTCCAATTCGAGCTTGAATGGGTCCAAATGGGGACGTCGAGGCATATTTGGAAGGTTCAAAGCATAAATTAGATGACCAAATGATACCCTAATATAACATGATTATAGTGGAATCAAGCGGCTCTACAAGATGAATCCAATGAGCCCAAGCTTAATTCTGACATCAATAAGACACGTAAATGTTTAGCAAATGCTCTATGATCAAGATGATCAATATGAGTCGTTCAATATAGCACATTGGATTTACCTCACATCTTCTCCATTTTATGGGATATGTCATTCTCAAAATTTATAAATAGGCCTACACTCTCTATATGATGGGGCTCGAAACATTTAGTTAGAGATTGGAGAGAGCTTTGAGGCTTCAAGAATCTAGAGCTCCACCCAAGCACAACAACAGGCGAATTTTCGACAGCAAGCTGGATGACCACCCGGTCGCCAACCTTCGACTATGTTTAGAATTCTAACCCACCCGATTGTCATCAGACTTCTGCTCGACCATTGTGGGACCACCACCCCACCCAGATGTTGAATCACTGCCTCGCCGTCGATCGCTACCGACTAAGGTCGGACCACTGCCCAGTCTCCAACCATCATTGGACATCCGACGGTCCGTAAATACTCATCGGACCACCGCTCTTCAATCAATCACCGTACGACCTCCGACCACTGTCGCCTGCCAAATAGTTGATTCAATATAGTTGATTCAATATGAGTAGGAGTATTAAAATGGGTTTTCGGGTTGGGTTCTGATCAAACTTAGAATTGAATCAGGTTCAAACGAGTTGACCCAAACCCTACCTAGTTTTGTAAATGGATCAAAAATTCAGACCCAAATCAGACCTACCGGGTTACCTGGTTGACCCAACCTAGCCCACGTACCTGGAATACAATCGGTACATCGAGTTCTGGCGCAAGCGGGTACATGGTGCGAGGCAGGAGTGGGATTGTGTTGCGTATGGTGCGAGTGAGGGCTCGGCCTACGTAGAGTGCAGGTGCAGCTTGCGCACGGTGTTGGCGTGGGTCCGGTTGCGGAATCTGAGCGAGAATGAGGCTTGTGTGGGAGCGCTCGTTGCGGTGCGAAGAGTTGCAGGCGAGGACGAGATCCAGTGCGGCATAAGAAGGAGCGTTGCAGGCGAGCACGAGGTGCGAGATCCTTTGCAAGCAGGGTTTCGAGTCAGGTTTATGGGTCATTCAGGTTGATTTCAAATTTTTGGGTCAATCTGAACCCAACCCGATTTTAGAAACGGGTCAGAAAATGAAACACAAACCCAATCCGTCTGACAAATAAGTTGACCCAAACTCGAAATTTTTCAGATCAGATCTAAGTCAAGTTTCAGGTCGGGTTAAATATCGACACCCCTAAACTCATATTGTTATCTATCATATGAATACATGAAGTTAAAAGATAAGGGATGATAGGTGGTATTACTAAGCTAGCCAATATAAGGGAGAGTAAAACATCATTAAGTTCTGATTTATTAAGATTAGTGAAATTGATACATATTCTCCCGATTTCCACTAACTTTTCTCATCATGATGACATTGGCAAGCGAGCGAGGACGGTGGACTTCTCTAATGAGCTCATCCTTTGTACGCATATCATGTTGGAAAATTTTCGATGTGAACCCACACATAAAAATTAATTACATATTAGGTATTATCTTATCTTTAAGCATATGAAAATTATGATTAAAATAAAATTTAATTATTACCATTTAGTTTTTGTAGGCATCTCATTAATTTTGTATAGAATTTATTATGTGTGGAGACTAAATGTTTTTTATTTATGGGACAGGCTAAGAAAATTAAAACGTATTTAATTACAAATTTGATAATGGCCACTAGTCTAAACTATTGATTCTTGCTTTAGGCCAAGTCCAACCAAACTACATATCCGTGTTTGGCGTCCGCGAACTGCAACAATTGAACGGCAAAATGTATTCCATTCTTGTGTTCGTGAACAGTGTGAAATCAATATTGGTGACGCACTTTTCACGAACGCTTTTTTTCTGGAAATAGAGAAAGCGGGGGTTGAGCACGTGGAGTTTGGTTGAGAAAGAATAAATACGTAATATTCATTTTTTTGTGTTAAGAAATAGAATTCGATTGGAGATGAATTATGAAACGATCATTAGTGAGCTCAGAAGCTCAGCTGTGGTGATAAAGCATGATGAGCTAGCATGTGGCCAATTATCATTTATAGGACAAAGTAGTTGGATTATTAAAGGGCATGTGGTTAGGTTGCCCCCACAAAAATAGCAATATTGCAAGGAACCTTTTTTTAAATCGGCAATTTTTATTTGGCAATTATTTTTTCGTTGTTTTCAAGAAAATATTTATGTGCAGAAACTACTTTCTACAGTGGCTTAGGCTTCGTTTAGGCCGGCTTTTTAATTGCTTCTTAAAATAGCTTTTTAGTTTTAAAATTAAAATTTTACTAAAAAACTGTTTGAAGAAGCAGTAAAAAAACCGTCCCAAATAAAGCCTTGCAAAAAAAAATTACTTTCTTCATAGTAATATAATAATCAATTTTATAAAAAAATTAAAACAATGTCAAACAGATCTTTAATATTGATCAAGAAAATTAATTTATTAAGATCATTCATTGAAATTGTGATTTTATAT